ACCCCAGTTGCATTTGTCAATTTCACACTATTCGCTGCGCAGCCGCATTTTGACCCGCATCTCCCCCCAATTTCCCCCATGTCTTCTCGATCTCAAAAAACAAGGATTGAGAAGACGCGGGGGAAATCGGGGGGGAGATACAGGTCAAAATGTGGCCACATAGCAAATAGTGTGAAACTGACCAATGCAACTGGGGCAAACGGAAGAGCAAGGGCGGCACAGCTGCTTGTGGGGAATCAGTCTAGATTTTATTTTCTCCTCCATTGCTGCCATTAGTGTGGTGTACTTGTTAGAGCATGACGCTAGGCTATGGGTGACTTGGGTTTGAATTAGGGATGCTCAAACACCAAATGGTTTGGCTTGTGCCCTGCTCACCAGCTGCAAACAGAGACCCGGTTTTTCAACAATCGGTTCAATAGTTTGTCTGTTCGTGAGTGTTTGACAGGTTGTTTGACCGCATTCCTTCCTAGACAAGCAGTACAGTACAATGCAGTTGGCTTTTCACACATGCATGTTCTCACACAGCCCAGCTGAGGTCTACTGCCTCCCCATCCTTGCTGCATAATTGCTCTGCTTAGCGGGCAGCTGTTTAAATAGACAATTAGATCACACACAAATCATATAAATCAGTCATCAATAAATGCTGTGTTTCGATAAAATCCTACCCTTCGTTGTCCATCTAAGTAGTCCTTCGTGATACCAATGGCTGCTCATCAGTTTGAACCAACACATTCCAAGATAACCCAGTGCAAACTGGTTCGGCAGGCATTTGCGACGGCTCCCCAGGAATTGAACTGTCATGAGTCAGCCAGGGCTCAGCAATAGCGAGGACTCCTCGGGAGAAGAGGAGCCCCGTATAACCAACCTTGACTCAACAGAAGCTGGCCAGCAGGAAACTGAGCTGCAAGCTTGCAAGGATTCACAACATCAAGATTCACAGCCAACAGCTGATGCAGAGTCATAGACACCCTCTAGCTCTGGTTCAGCAGGTGAAATTCAGTTGGCCATTCCCAGCCCACCAGTATCACCCCTAGAGTACTGCAGATGAAGGCTGAGAACAGAACTACAGACAAGATGGCAAAATGCACGCCTCCTGGCCCAACACCAGCTGCTTGCTGATAACAAAGATGAGTAGTGCCAGGATCACTTCTGAGAAGCTGGCTGCAAGCCTGAACCTTAGGTGGGTGGCTACAAAACCAGACAAAAAAAGGCTATTGGGCTTGGATGCAACATGAACATTAGACGCTAAGCCACTGACTCTGCGTTGCCTGCTTCTTGGAACCCGACCTTGGACTGAACAACTCTGCCTTGCCTGACTTCTGTAACTCTGACCTTGGATTGATTGACCCTGCCTTGCCTAACCCCTGGCATCTGCTACTTGAAACCTGCAAACCAGTACATGGACAGACCAAGTGATCAGCTCACATTTGACTGCTACCTTCTAGCACAGTTAAGTTCAACCATTGAACATATTCACAGGGAAATTAGCAGCACCCCTAGTTTGAATCCCCACTTTCTGGGTGACCTTGGGCCATCACTCTCTCAGTCTGACCCACCTAGCAGGTAGATTCAGGTGGGTAGCCATGTTGGTCTGAAGCAACAGAACGAAGTTTGAGTCCAGTGGCTCCTTTAAGACCAACAAAGTTAGTGGAAGTGTGCCTGCACATGAAAGCTTATACCAAGAATTAAACCTTGTTGGTCTCAAAGGTGCCACTGGACTCAAACTTCTTTCTACCTAGCAGGGTTGTTGTCGGAAGGATAAAATGGAAGGAGAGGAGAACAATGTTCCAAGGCATTGGGGGGAAGCAGGATATAAACAAATAAATAAACAACCATTGGATATGTGAATGGACAGGTTCAGTCCCGGAACACAGATCTATGAGGTTGGTCTAGATTGAGTATATTCAGTTCCTTCACAGGTTAAATTGAAATAATTATGCTCTATCTGTGTATGAGTCAGATGAGAACAGGGAAAACTCCACACCTCTGACATTTAGGGCACGACTATACCACAAGTCTAATTTAAGCAGCCATAGTACATATTGCACACAGATGGGGGGGAAAGAAAGAATTCCAACCATGACAGCTTCTACAACAGAAATTTTGATATTATGGCAGCAGATAGAATATCTTCCCAAATAAAATGAATGGAAAATCATAATTGTCAATGTTCATTTCATAGGCGATGGTTTTCTGTCTTGTCATACTTCTAGTTCAGTATTATATCTGATAAAGATAAGAGAAAAACTAGATCTTATATTTCCAGTTGAAGGAACACTTCAGGCCACTATAGATGGTTCAATCTAATTTTAGTTCACTGTTGCAATATTTTATAGATAACGTCTTATTAACCTAGTGCTTGGTACCCATACCAATATTTACAAGTGCTGTTTACTGTATATCTGTGTAATGTATGTTGAATTCATGTTTAATGTAATCTACCATTCAAATAAATTAATTTTTTTAAACGGGAGGGGGTGGACTTGTGATGCGTGACCTCTTCCTCAGACGATCCCGATGTGGCAACCATACTTATCTAAGAAGAAATATTTCTCCAGACCAAGTGCCAAAATCCTTAGAGGGGATTTTCCCCCCTCACTTTTTAAAAATGATGTAGATTGCTTTTTATTAGTCTATTCCTTGATTCAGGCAGCGAGTTCTGGCATGAGACACCTTCTATGTGCCAGTGTTCCCTCTAAGCTGAGTCAGTGTGAGCTAGCTCACAGTTCTTTAGCCCCCGGCTCACACATTTTTCTCTTAGCTCAGGAAGGATGGCTCCAGAGCAAACTAATTTATGCCGTAGCCAAATCGCTCGCTCACAACTTTAATACCAGTAGCTCACAAAGTAGAATTTTTGCTCACAAGACTCCACAGCTTAGAGGGAGCATTGGTATGCATCTGTTCCCTGATTGTGGGAACAGAGATGATGCGGGTTAAAATGTAGCCTGAAGGCCAAACTAAAAGGGACAGCATCCTCGTGGCTGCCACAAGGACACCACAGCCATTTTAAAGATATTTTTAAATCGCCACAAAGGCCCAGTCCTGACTCAACCCACAGCGTGGTACTCTCCCCCCCCCCTTTCATTTTCAAGAGCCTAAAAAGCCACCGGGAGGGCAAAAGTTCTCAAACAGTGTGTGAGTGATTCAGGTGGGGTAGCCGTGTTGGTCTGAAGCAGCAGGACAAAGTTTGAGTCCGGTGGCACCCTTTAAGACCAACAAAGTTTAATTCTGGGTATAAGCTTTCATGTGCATGTGCACTTCTAAGTGTGCATGCGCACAAAAGCTTATACCCAGAATAAAACTTTGTTGGTCTTAAAGGTGTCACTAGACTGAAGCAGTGCGTGAGTGAGGTAATCTGCCATGTATCACACTTCTGGGAATGGACTCCACTTTCAGGTCACCTGGAATCTTGTAATTATTTCAAAAGAAAGGCTGCAATGCAGGCACAAAAGAACTAATGGAGTACCCAGGTTCAAACGAAGGGAAGGTTTTAAAGTTATCTGAGAACCAGTTTGGTGTAGTGGTTAGGAGCGCGGGCTCTGATCTGGGAGAACCAGGTTTGATTCCCCACGCCTCCACATGCAGCTGCTGGTGTGACCTTGGGTCAGTCACAAGTTCTCAGACCTTTTCTCTCAAGGGCAGTTTTCAAAAGAGCTCTCTCAAACCCACCTACCACACAGGGCATCCATTGTGGAGAGGGGAAGGGAAAGGGATTGTAAGCTGCTCTGAGACTCCTTCGGGTAGTGAAGGGCAGGGTATAAATCCAATCGCCTCTTCTATTTTATAGAATATTGAACTGGAACTTGGAAGATGCTCACTCGAGAGCCATATAGGCCAGATATTCCAAGCCTACGCTACCCTACAGCATTCTTATGAGGATCAAATGGGAAGAGGAGAACCACAGGCCCTATGGGTTGAGGGGAGGAAGGGCGTTTGTCTTGGGCTTCAAGCTGAAACCGGATCTCAGATTTAGACCTTTATCAACTTGAGGGCATTTTGATAAGTTTTGCAACTCGGGTTTTTTGTTTTGTTGTGGATCCCTGTTGGTTCAAAACATATCACACTCGGCTCAGAACTGCACACTGAAGCAAGTAAGATGTGATTTAAAGACAGTCTTTTTTCTTTTGTTAGCTGATAACAGTTTGTCAGTCTTTTTGGTGCCTTATTTTATTTTCACGTGTTGTCATTTTTAATTTTATTTTTTTTATTATGGCTAAGGGCCTCACACCCCTGTCCTGGATGGCCCAGGCTAGCCTGAACTCGTCAGATCTTGGAAGCTAAGCAGGGTTGACGGTGGTTAGTACTTGGATGGGAGACCCCCAAGGAAGCCCAGGGTCGCCATGCAGAGGAAGACAATGGCAAACTACCCCTGTTACTCTCTTGCTTTGAAAACTCTATGGGGTTCATAAGAAGTACAAAGATAAAAAGTCTGAATGAAGTATAAAAAGCTAGTTGGAGATCTCCTCTCTTGGGTTTTTTAGTTAGTAGTGGGTTCTTTACTTTCTCCCTTATATGTAGCTTTCCCTTTCCCTTTTTTCTGTTCTAGTTTTTGTAGTGTTTAAAAAATCAATAAAAAATCCCCTCCGGGGGCTTAAAAAAAAGAAAAGAAAAGAAAACTCTATGGGATTTCCCTAAGCCACCTGCCTCTTAATGGCATTTTACAGACTCAAAAAATGTATACATGGACACATACACATAGAGTGTTTACCTTGGCTTGCTGCAAGATCGCTTGAGCCTGGGCTTCCTGAAAAGAAACCGAAGGGCCTTTCGAAGAGTCGCCACCAAACTGGAACTAGAAATGGATACACAAAGAGGAAGTCGGTGAAGGAAACTATGTCATACTGTGACCTAGCGAGGTAAGGGCCAAACTAACCTGTAACCTTCGAGCCAGAACACATGTTGTTATGAACACCATCGCCATGGATACCACAAATGATTCCCCCGTGGAGAGTCAATCCTGCCTTGTTCCAAATTTTTTGTTGCCTGATTCATCCTTCTCATGCTGGGTCCTCACCATATCCCTTCTCCCAGCAGCCAGTGGTGATGGAAGGAATGCCACAGCATGATGGGAGTGAATCACACGCACACATTACAGCCTGGGCAACCAGCGCTATCCACAGGGAGGCCATTTTGCTGGCATTGCCTTGGCAACCTCACCATATGCCTTAAACTAGCTCTCCATGTTGACTGCTGGGCCTGTCTTCGGGATGAAAAATGTGATATTCAGAGTGCCCATCACACACACACACCCCACTTTTATCCTGGCAGTAGTCAATTTTGAATAGATAAAGCAGTCTGCTTTTTAACAGATGGATGAGCTCGTTTCCTTCCACTCTACTCCCCAGCCCTCGAACAAACTCTGAGGCTATCTTTCCACGGGGGACACCGGAATGTTTGCACCAGGGCTATTTTTGGGCAGGAACGCACAGGAACAGAGTTGGCCACGCCCAGCAGGAACTCATTAGCATAATAGGCCACACCCAACAGCAGAAACTCATTCGGATTGGCTACATTAGGGGTGTGTGGCCTAACATGCAAAGGAGTTCCTGCTACAAAAAAGCCCTGGGTTTTGACAACAAACAAGGTAAACAGAATAAGAAGCAAAAGGTGGGTGTGGCTGGATGAGCACACTTCTGGTAACATGGGGGTGTGGCCTAATATGCCAATAAGCTGTGCTGTCAGGGGTGTGTGGCCTAATATGCTAATGAGTTTCTGCTGTTGGGTGTGGCCTATTATGCTAATGAGTTCCTGCTGGGCTTTACCTACAAAAAAAGCCCTGGTTTGCACGAACACAGAAATAGCCTGTTAGCTCCAAGGACAGTCTCTTGTACCTTCCTTGTCTTGAGTGGGCTGCGCGTCACTTCCAAATTGTCCTTTCCCTTTTTTTTGTCTCCTGCTTTCAGCTCCTTTGCCAGTGCCAGGCTTAGATACTTTTTCCAGCTGAAGCACAGCGCCAAAATGACACACCCATGCTCTAGAGCAGAGCTCCCTTGTTGCTTCAGAGCAACAGCTATATGGAGCAATGGCATATTTCTGGAATCTACTGCCCCCAAAGACCAATTTTTTTCATAGTAGAGGTGCCCTGTTTTCCCGCTCCATCCACACTGCTATATTCACAGACCTGTAGCTACAGTGGGGCTTTTGGGGACTCCGACCCCTTTCTTAAAGCCCCACAAGAATTTCTCCTGTAAATGCTTTTTCCAATCATTTCAAAACTTTTTTTTAAAGGTGTGTGCGCCTTTAAACAGAGGGGGATGCTGCAGTAGACTAATTCCCGCACTGAGCAAGGGGGTTGGAGTAGGTGACCTCTAGGATCCCTTCTAACTCTGTGTCAAGAAACTGGTCGCCTTTAAGCTTGCTTGACTATAGAAGTCCTCACCTCCACCTGCCGGCTCATTCTCAGAATTGTTGCTTAGGCTGGCAGAAGTGATTAACTTGCAGCAGCTGAGAACTGCCATCTAAAGTAGTGGACAGCTTGCAATTTAGAGATCTATCCTGGCAACAGCTTTCTATTGGCTCAATGGCTTTTCATTCTGCACTGACTTCAGCCCCACCAGGAAAAAAAAATTGCCCCACAAGCCACAGAGTCCTGGCTACGGGCCTGTACAACTCACTGTACAATCTCCCAGTACAACTCACTGGTAACATAATCATCATCCCAGGGGGTCCACGAATGCCATCAGCTCCTGGAAGGCCTAGGAGTCCTGGTGGTCCCTGTGTAGGAATGAAGAGAAGGGCCTGTCAATCAGCCCCAGGAAACGCTGAGCTAGGATGAGCTGCGTCAAGCTGGGACTCGCTTCCCGGCAGCAGCACTGAGGTACACCGAAAGGGGCACATGCCGGTGATTCCTTAACCCCTCTTTCCCACCCCCATGATCAGAAATCCCCAGGCTGGGAAAGGAGGGGGCTGCCTTCCCCTTGAATCACATGGAGGCTTCCTCACCCTCTCGCCAGGATCCCCTGGAAATCCTGGAGGCCCTGCTTGTCCTATAGGACCTGGCTCACCCTGGGAAGAAAGAAACAGAACATCAAGACACGTGTTTTGCCCACTGGAATCCCACACTGTTAAACCTAAACCATGCAGCACCAGAGGACCCCAGGCCAACTCAACGGACTGTATTGGCAGCATCGAAATTATGCCCTCCTCTGGTCCTAGGTCACACAGGGGCCTGGTTCTGGGGATGGCAGACACACACACACACCCCCAGTGGGAGCAGAGGTCTCCCACTTTCAGCCACCACCTCTCCGCCACTGGCCACCTGGCCGGCAGGGGGAAATTACCCACCCCCCAAATGCTGGAAATTAATGCAATGTGCCTATGTGACCCGGAAGTGACATAGGCACATGGGGGGATACTCTGGTTTGGGGGCAAAACTCTATGGTAGAAGCTAATTCTACCATAGAGTTTTGCCCAACAACCGGAGTTTCCCCCCCACACACAACGTGCCTACGTCACACTCTGGGTCACATAGGCACGTTGTGTTAATATCCAGTGTTCCTTCCCGCTCCCAGTATGTGCTCCCCACCCCCCATCCCCGCCAGCTGCTCTGAGGGGCCTAGCAACCCTACCTGGTTCTCATTGAAATGATACACCTGCATTGATAATCCAGTTGCACCTTGAGAGCCCTTATGTACACATGACAAAAGGGCGATCCGGATGCATTTGCAAGCCCCAAAGCCATGGTGCCAGTTGTTCACTCACAAATCCAAGCAGCCAATTGTGGGACTCCCAGACTCAACATGGCTGGTGTCATCCACACAAAAGCCCATGTGATAGAGCATCACTGTTTCGAAGACACAACTTCCTAAGCTTCTAGCACTACAAAAGCTAACCATTAGTGTGCAAGGTCCGGCAATGTCAACATGCTCAACAAAGACCGACATGGCACAAGAGGTTGCCATTCCACAGCCCAGCCTAGCAAGTAACTAATGGACAGCAGCAGCACCAAGTGGCGACCACCATGGAGTCTTCTGGCTTGGCATGTCGTCATGTCGGTAGCTCCCAGCCCTCCCCCAAATGATCATGTATATTAATCATTCTGTCTCATGCAGTGTAGGTCTATCAGCTGCTACTAGCCATGGTGACTACAGGGAACCTCCACATTCAGAAGCCATTATCCTCTGAATACCAGTGCCAGGAGGCAACCTCAAGGGAAGGCCTCGGCTTCTATGCCCCATTTTTGACCCTACAGAGAAACTGGTTGGTCTCTGTGTGAGACAGAATGCTGCTGAACTAGACTGACCACTGGTCTGACCCAGTCGGGCTCTTCTTATGTTCTTATTCCTCTTACCACTGGCCCCGGGTATCCAGGTGGCCCTACAAAACGAGTGCCCTGCAAGGAAAAGAGAAATCCTGGTTAGCATTAAAAAAAGCCTGACAAAGAAGGCAATGGGCCTCCATGCAGGTTACAAACCTACAGAACAGACTGGTCACCCTTAAATGCCATAAGAGTACTCATGATTATCTGTAAATCAACAATGCCATAAATCATCAGTCATCTGCTGCACTCAAAAGCCAAAGATGCACTGCTCCCACTTTACGCAATAGGTCTCATAAAATTATTGCTGAAGAGTGACTGTGGCTTATTGGTAGAGCATTTGTTTTGCATGCAAAAGCTTTCAGAATCTACCCCAGTATCTCCAGCTAAAAGGAGACAGGTGATATGAAAGGGGGCTGCCTGGAAAGCTGCTGCCAGCCACAGCAGACAATTCTGATTTTAGTAGTCCAAGGGTCAAACTCAGTAGAAAGCTGCTAGAAAGGGGTCATGGCACAGTGGTAAGATACCCAGTGTGCAAACAGCCCAGGTTCACTCCCAGGCATCTCCAGTTAAAAGAATCAGGTTTGTGTGACTTGACCCAAGATACCTTCATAGACTAAGGGTCTGAATCAGGCCAATTTCCCACAAGCAGCTGTGTTGCCCTCGCTCTTCCCTTCCCCCCCACATTGTATTTGTTAATTTCCCATTACTTGCTGCGCGGCCGCATTTTGACCTGCATCATCCCCCAATTTCCCCCGCATCTTCTAGATCATTGTTTTTTGAGACTGAGAAGATGCGGGGAAAATCAGGGGATGCTATGGGTCAAAATGCAGCCGTGCAGCAAGTAGTGGGAAATGGATGAATACAATTGGGGGAAGGGAAGAGCGAGGGCGGTGCAGCTGCTTGTTGGGAAATCAGTCTCAGTTTCAGGAAGAAGAGTTCGGATTTATACTCCTCCCTTCACTCAGAGTCTCAGAGTGGCTTACAGTCTCCTTTCCCTTCTCCTCCCCACAACAGACACCCTGTGAGGTAAGTGGTGCTGAGAGAGCTCTTTTGAGGACTGCTCTTGAGAGGAGAGCTCTGAGAGAACTTGTGACTGACCCAAAGTCACACCAGCGGCTGCATGTGGAGGAGTGGGGAATCAAACCCAGTTCTCCCACATTAGAGCCCGCACTCCTAACCACTCTCCTTTCTGTCCCTTTAGATTGGTTTCCTGCAGCAGACACCATTGGAACAGATCATCGGTGGTGGTGGGTGGGGGGAAGCATGCTAACCCATTTCTGTCACTTAACAAGAAGAATTGCCTTCTTCAGGTAACACGGTCTCCTCACCCCTAAACTTCATGTGTTCATATGTGTTCATATGTATCCGTGGAAATAAAGCAGTGGTTTAATTACATGCACTGTTATGCAGTTAGACTCAGGGGTCGTTTCGTAGAAAAAGAGCTGGGGGAACTCATTAGCATAACTCATTAGCATATCCCACACCCCCTGACATCACCGGAAGTGTGTCATAAGGCCACACCCCCTGACATCACTGGAAGTGTGTCATAAGGCCACACACCCAGCCCCCAACAGTCCCAGCCGCTGCCGCCAGCCTTGCAGCTCCACTGCCGAGCCCCATGAGGGGCCCGGCGGTGGACCTGCAAGGCCGGCGGGAGTGCAAGGAAGCCCCGCGAAGGCCCTCCCTGGCCCCAGGCAGGCAGGGGTGGGGAGAGGCAGGGAGGAAGCAACTTACCCTCCCTCTTCTCCTGCCTCCTCCTGGCTGAATGAGGGCCGGAAGCGGGGTGGCCGGAAGTGGGGGGCGGGGCTTCGTCATGTGCCCCGCCCCCGTACCTCACCCGGGGGAACTGCGATCCCCCACGATCCCCCCCGAAATGACCTCTGGTTAGACTAACTAGATGTGTGAACCGTGATGATCATACAGAACTTCGCTAACTGTTGCCGATGACAGCTTTTGAGCGGCCGCTATAACGTATGATCAAGCCAGCCATGATGCACAGCATCGAATTATTCCAACCTTTACCGCTGGGAATGCTTCTGAATGAGGAAGCAGGACCGATGTGATATACAAGCCACAATTCAGATACTGTTACAAAAAAACCTGGACATCAGGCTTTGAGGAGTGTTTACCAAAGGGAGCCACCATCAGAATTTCATCTTTATCCAAGGCTCACTCGGCTGTTCTCCCCCCCCCCCTTTGTTCCCAAAGGGAAGTCAGTAATTCATGCTGTACTTTCGCTGATGCTCACCAATGGCAGCCTGACAGGACATGTAACAACATCTCCAGTACTGATCCCTTCTTTACTGTTTGGAAATCACGGCTTTTTGGAGAGGTTTGTCCCTCTGGGATATGGAGTCAACCACAAACCCTCGGGGCCACCATAAATGCAGTTTCCAACCTTAGCTGACGGAAGGGAGGGGAACATCCAAGCGGGACAGAGGCCATACTCACAGGATCCAGGACTGCCGGCTCCCCTTTCTGTCCCTTCAGATTGGTTTCCTGCCACAGACACAATCGGAAGAAATCATCAAGGGGGAAAAAAGTGTGCAGTAACCCATATCTGTCACTTAACGTGAGGAATTGCCTTCTTCTTGTTACAGGGTCTCCCCACCCCCCCACCATGAATATGTTGAGTAAGTGGGAATTCTTGCTGAGCAGGGAAACTTGCTAAGACTAGCTGGGCTCATTAAAGGGATGTCTCCATCTACCCCGATACTCCTTTTCCTCTCTGTAAATACAGAAGGCATTTATCAAGACACCTGTAGCCACCAGTGATCTGCCAGAAGAACCTGGCCATGGGAAAAACTGGCCCTAGGGTTTGGAGAATAGCAACTGAAACAAGAACCAGTGCTGGACCTTCCAAGATCATGGCTTATAGGTATAGCATACTGATTGGCCTCCATGCCAGGATGTATTTAGGCATGTATGGAAGACTCAGGGTAGGTATCACAGGTAGGGGTGGGGCTGTTGTGGGCAGAGTTCCTTCCAAGGAGCCCTACAGTGCCCCACACATCCTCTTTTCCTCCTGAGCAATTCCAGAGCAGGAAGAAGCCTTGGCTCACTGCCACCACTCCGGTTCAAGGGCTTGACAGAGGAAGGTAGGAGAAAGAAGGTGCAAAGGGCGAGCAGGTCATTTAACATTTTAGATCCCAGCGCATTCCACGATAAGCTTCATCAGGGGATCTAATGAAACAAGGTTAAAATAGACACGGTCACATCAATACGTGTTCATACTAATATTATATCATTTAGAATGCACATAGGTAAAGGTAAAGGTTCCCTTGCTCGAAAGCCAGTCGAATCCGACTCTAGGGTTGCGGTGCTCATCTCCGTTTCAAAGCCGAAGAGCCAGCGCTGTCCGAAAATGTTTCCGTGGTCATGTGGCCGGCATGACTAAACACCAAGGCGCCCGGAACGCTGTTACCTTCCCACCGAAGTGGTCCCTATTTATCTACTTGCAATTTCTTGCTTTCGAACTGCTAGGTTGGCAGGAGCTGGAACTAGAGATGGGAGCTCACCCTGTCTTGCGGCACCCGGGTCTTGAACCGCTGAACTACTGACCTTCCACAGCCTGCAGTTCAGCGTCTTAACCACTTGAGCCACCACAGCTCCAGAATGCACATACAAAGCCTCAATTAAAAATAGTTCAGATATTTAGATTATTCGTTTGTACATATATTCTAAATGATTTGGGTCGCGTTTGCACGCACCAGTTGGAGCGGAGGGGAAGCGATGCTGTTTCCTCCAGAGGAATTTGACTCGGCAGTTGCAAGATCACGCATCCCTTTGTGATGCAGGCTTAGCCTGTCACTGCACAAGCAGATGTCACCAAAGGTGAGTTGTTTGGGGGTTTTTTTGTTTCCCATGCGCATAAAGCTGAACCCTGAGCCAGAGCCACAAGCTAGCTAATTTTGCACCCAAGGCAAGAATATAAAATTGTGCCCCCTATGTCCCAAAGCCCAGCCTAACCACATTGCTTCCCAAATGTACTCAGTCTTGGACACTGGCAAGTCTACAGCTGCAGCGAGTTCCATGACTGGAATGCTGTTCTTGCTGTCTGAATCCAACATGTGGAGATGGTCTTGTAATAAGGCTGGCACCCAACGCTTAAATACTGCAACTCTGGCCTGGCTGGCTAGATTAAATGCCAAACTTCCATCACAGAGCCATGGCTTAGTGACAATGGGTTGAGCAAGGGGGTTCAGGTGGTGGGCAGAGATTGACTCACCCTAGCAACAGCTGTTCAGAGGAAAACCCTGTAAATAATTTCTAATACATTTCAGTTATTATGATAAGACACCTCTTGGCACCTCATTTCCTCACCATAGCCTCATAACAGTACCATTAAGAAGGCACTCTTGGTAGATATCGGTAAAGGCAGATATAATTTTTTAAAAGTGACAGAGAAAGTTTGACAGTGTCCTTAACGCTCAACAAATCTTTCTTTCCTTTTTTAAAAAAAGTTTTATTTTGCTTTTTCAGTCAACATTACATCTTCACATATTACATACATTTTTAGAGTCTTTCGGTTCTCCCACTTATTTATCCAAGTGTAAACCCTTTTCCATCTATTGCTTTGTACCGTATTGTTTCCCCCCTGTAGTTTTAAACTCAAATCATCCATTTGAACAAGTTCTAACATCTTTATTATTAGGTCAGTTTTAGAGGGTAATTTCTCTAATTTCCAGTATTTGGCCAACATCATTCTGGCAGCCGTTATTATATATATTACTAGATAAACATCTTTATAGTTATATCTATTTGGTATAATATTTAACAAATATATATCTTTTTTTCCTGAGGCAAATTCTGGAAAATAATGCCTTCCTTCCTTCCTTCCTTCCTTCCTTCCTTCCGAGGTCGGTTTGAATGAGGGAAAGGCAGAAGCAGAGCCTACTGGCTAATGCCTGGAACTTTTCATCAGACATGTGGTATGCTGGGAGATCCTTGCTTGGAACTTAACTCCCAGGGGAATCAGAACAGCAGCAAACAAAGAGAACAAAGGTTGCCATGTCACCTTCTTGCTCCAGTGGGGGGATTTGGGGGGTGTTCTGGGGTTGGATGGGGGAGAGGGGTGGCCGGGCAGGTGGTTGCACTTGGGGGCGGGGCTTGGGGGCAGGGCTTCCCCCACTGGCCAGTTGTCCAGGCAAACTGGAGTCCCCAAAAGGGGGGGAACCCCCACCCGGACATGGGGGCTAGCAGCCCTAGGGAGAATGAGGTTGAAGCCTACCACTTCCTACACCATTTTCCAACATGAAAGGTCCCCAGGAGTCAGGGGTTGTTTCATAGAAAAAGAGCTAGGGGGACTCATTAGCATATGCCACACCCCCTGACATCACTGGAAGTGTGTCATAAGGCCACACACCCTGACATCACCGGAGGTGTGTCATAAGGCCACACACCCCACCCCCAACGGTCCCATGAGGGGCCCGGCGGTGGACCTGCAAGGAAGCCCCGCGAAGGCCCTCCCTGACCCCAGGCAGGCAGGGGTGGGGAGAGGCAGGGAGGAAGCAACTTACCCTCCCTCTTCTCCTGCCTCCTCCTGGCTGAATGAGGGCCGGAAGCGGGGCGCCCGGAAGCGGGGGGCGGGGCTTCGTCATGTGCCCCGCCCCCGTACCTCACCCGGGGGAACTGCAATCCCCCGCGATCCCCCCTGAAATGACCTCTGCCAGGAGTTACTATTTGTCCTATTGGGGAATTTACATATAGCTCATCAGCACACACAAATTTCCTCAATAGGCAAGGAACACTTCCTTGTAGCTTCTGAAGAGTACCCCGGGGGCCAGCCAACATCCCACAGGATTCTTCCTACTGTCACAATATAACTTCCCACCTACCCCGCTGTTAGGCTTGCCAACCTCCAGGCAGGGCCTGGGGATCGCCTGGAATCACAACTGATCTCCAGACCACAGCCCTCAGTTCCCCTGGATAAAGCGGCTTCTTTGGAAGGTGGACTCTGTGGCATTATACCGCGCTGAGGTCCCTCCCCTACTCAAACCCCGCCCTCCTCAGGCTCCACCCCTCAAATCTCCAGGGACATCCCAGCCCAGAGTTGACAATGCTACCCACCACATTGGGGTTCCCAGCAGGAAATAAAAAGAGAAGATGGATTGGAGGCGATAATATCTGGGCCTGAGAATGAACCCACCCAAGCCTGGAGGTAAAACAGACAGACAAAAGATGGCTGCTTTTTATTTTGGGCGGCGGGGGGGGATAAAATTAATGTAAATATTGACACTTAACCAGGAGTTCCAGGATGTTAGGTTTCACACAGCACATGTCCAAGGAGAGACACTCTCTCAGGCAGGTTTATAACATATCAATACAACACTTTACTGTACCTGAGTTACACACCAGGCCCAGGAAAAAGACCGCTAGCTTACCCTAACATCTGAGGTCTGATATCTAATTCACAGCCCTGTTAGCCTAGCCCTTTTCTCTCAGTCTTCAAAACCAAACTTCTGACTCTCCACCTTCAAAGTCTAATTTCTTTTTCTTCCCTGGTTTTTTTTCTTTTCACAGTAGCTCTTAATGTAGAGCTGCCAGGCTTCCCAATATGGCAGAAGGTCTCTCATGGGTGATGCTGCCAATGTTGCTACATCACTTCCAGGGAAAACTGGGAAGTGACATAGGATAGCTCTAGGAATTGCTGGAAACCCTATGGTAAACCATAACATTTCCAATGATTCCTAGAACTACCCTACATCAAATCCAGGTTTTCCCCACATCCCCGTGCCCAACCATCCCACCTGTTGCCAGCCTTGCCCTAGCAACCCCATCTTATTGGCTGGTTCAAAGCACTGCTCTGATCAGCTTCTTTATTACAGGGGTATATTCCTGTGCTCTACCTATCACAAGGTATTTTAGGTTGGAAAATGGCACAGGGTGAAAATTAATCCCCCTCTCCACACTTGGTGCAATCCTGATCCAAACTAGGCTGTGTACCTGGAAACTACTAGACATACATGAGACTCCATCGAGGAGTAACCACAGACTACCTCTAGTTGGCACAACTCGGAGACAGATGGCAACTCCCCAAGAGGAAATTCCGCAAACAATGGATACAAGTCCTTTGGAAAGTTCTGATAGTATTTAATGTAGCCTCATTTCCTGCAGCCTAGACCCACAAAAAACAGCAGATGTTTCAGTATTTTGAAGCAACATTCTAGGAGTGAACCTGAGCAACCATTCTTCCCCACCATGTGTTTATCTTTGCAGTCACCGTGCGGTTGGAATCACCTACCATCCCAAATCCAATTCTAGTTCGCAAATGTTACCAATGGCTATTGGCTCCAGATGAGGACACACATTTCCATCCACCAACTCCACTGCCAAGGTCAGTGAGACTCAAAGGAGCTTTGTGAAGGAGATGAACATCTGTATTCTGATGGCTGCCCCTTTGAGACTGCTGCTATTAAGACATCCCAGAATGGAACAGGCTTCTCCTGCAAACAGCATCAGGTTAAAGACCAACAAGATCTCCAGGGTGTAAGCTTTTGAGAATCAAAGGTCCCTTCATCAGGTTTCTGACAATGGGAGCTTGGTGTCTCCCAAGCTTATATCTTGGAGACCTTGTTGGTCTTTGAGGTGCTACTGAACTCAAATCTTGATCTTCTCCTGTACACCAACATTGCTATCCCCCAAAACTAGTATCAGGCCGCTGTCTTAACATTCCAAGGGACGCTTCCATTGCCATTACCTGGGGGACCTGAGCAGTAGCTTCAACGCGCTCAGCAGGATCAAATCGCTCTTCCTCACTGGTATCCCTTCGGTCATAGTAGTCTTCATAGTCCCTCGTTCTGTAGTCAAGCCTATCATCATAGGCCTCATATGTGCCATTGCCATCCAGGTCTGTGTGCTCACTGATCACATACTCTTCTCCTAGAAGGTCCTATCAGGGACGGGGGGAAAGAGAAGAAGAAATGAAGCACAGAGAGCATTCTGGTCTCCAGATATTTTGTCTACTAACTACCTCCTAAGTAGAGGTGGGCATGAACTGCATTTTTGTGGTTCGATTCATGGCTGAACCATGAACCAAACCACGAACTCATACGATTGGGGAGACTGGTTTGAGAACCAACGCAATTTGTATAGGTTCATGAGCAATTTAAAATTTAAACCCTTGCTTTCTGCTCCCCAATGCTTTTCATGGGGAGCAAAAAGTGGGGGGGGGATTTGAACCAAACAGCTGTTTTTGTGAAGAGCAAACAGCAGGGCTTTTCTACTCTTCATAAACTGCATCAAACTGCATCAAAATTCGTGAAAGCTTGTGGCGGTTCTTCAGTTTGCAAGCATTGCTTCACAAATCACGAACTGCCCAAAATTCGTGATGAAGTTAGTTCATCAGCTGGTTCATGCCTATCTGTACTCCTAAATCCAGCTTTCCTTCCTCTTCTGGGCTCCTCCCCCATAACTACATTCTTTTTTTTCCAAGAAAGAAAAAACATCTGTCTAGTATACTAGATGATCTGAATTGGGGGGGGGGGCTGTGTTCCTGGCATTTTCTCCAGTTACCCTGGAGAAAATGGCTGCTTTGGAAGATGGTATTATATCTTGCTGAGCCCCCCCCAAAAAGTAAGCTCCACCTCCAAAATATCCACAGATTTTCAAACACAGAGCTGGAAACCTTACCCTATTCACAAGTTACAATGAACACAGGTACAATCCCTGTACAGTGTACACTTGATTGTTCTTTCTACGTGCATTGAGTAAATTCAATGCATGTACAGCTCAATGCATGATTCAGACTGCACATTTATCCAGGTACTGGTCCCTGGTTTCATTTGTTAAGTGAATAAGTATTGGTTCTTTCTTCCAAACACAGATACGCACAGACATGCGAGATGTACTTGAGTGTACTGTAGCACACGAACAGGGCTAGCATAAATGGAGGTTGAGTGTTAAGGGGAAATATCAGTTCCTTCCTTCCTTTGCAAACAGCAGTTGATTTGGGCATTTAGCAATGTCACCTTTTCCAGTGTTTGCCCTGCCAGTCCAGGGAGGATCCAGCTAGCACTCTTTGCTTCCTCCAAGAACAAAGATTAACAGCCCTAACATGCTCCCTTGCCTTGCGTAAGCCAACGAGAAAAGGTTGCCTTTGCAAAGGTCACCCATCCCAAAGAGTGCTGCGCTAGACCGCTAGACGGTAGTCTTTACACTCTACCCTAGAACTGTCAACACTGTCTCTTTTCCATCAGCCCAGGGGAAAGACAGGAAATCACAGCTGGATTTTCTCAGCGGTAATTTAAAGAGCAAACTACTGGTGGTGGTGATTTAAAGAGCAAACTACACAGGCCCCACTGCAATGCGGGATACCCAGGAATGGTTCCGGCAGTAAGGCAGCGGTCAACCTCCAGTGCAAACACATTTTTAAAAGAGCTCCTCAGGAACAGGACCAGCTGCCAAGTGGGGCTGTGCATTCTCTTTTGTTGAGATTTGCCGGGGGAAAAACCCCACACAAGGTGAACTATCTGTTATGATGCTCCCTCGTGAATGAGAGCCAGCAAAAGACAGAGGCCCTGTTCAAACAAGACGTTTTGGGCCGGGAGAGGGACGGATCGGGGCCGCAGCAAATGGGCGCGATCCCACAGCAACATCTGGGAATCGTGCTGCGCCCGTTCCCAGCCCGTTCCCAATCCGCCCCTCCCGGCCAAACCCTGCAGCAAAAAAGAACCACCTACCTAGGTGGTTCTTTCCGAAAGGTGGTTCTTTCCGAAAGGCCGCATCACTGCCGGCCGTGGGATCGCCGGCGCGTCTTTCCGCCAGCACATCCCCGGCCCCTGGCCATACTGCGCATGCTCGAGCATGCGCAGTTCGGCAGCCTCCCCCTCCCAATCGTCTCTTCCTCCCCGGCATCTGATCGTGACGGGGAGCAATGGCACCACGGCTCAGGGGATCGTGGGATCCCGCCGCGGCGTCTCTTTTTTGGTGCGGCTTTTAAAAGCCGCACTTTGGCCAGTGTTTTCCCTGCCGTGTGGCAGGGGCCAGAGATTAGCATCGGGTGTGGGAAGTGGGAACATGAGGTTCAAATGCCCACTGGGTAGGGTTCATGGAGGCTGAAGACTCCCCCCACCACCACCAGAGAGCTCAGAGGCAGTTTGAAATGCTTGCCCTGAACTGAATCTTCTTCTTGCTTTCACCTCTGCTAAACAAGTTTTGTACTTTTAATAGTTTCAGATACAGTATGGCGGGACTAAAGAAACTATCGACAAACATGCTGTGGACAGCAACGTCTCCCTAAAAATGACTTTCCATTATTTGGTGGGGTGAAGAAAGTCATACTAGATAACGAGAGCTCTCAACACATTCCTCAGACATGGGGAAAATCCTCTTTCACAACCAATGTCCTAATTTTTTTTTTCCTACTGGGTGGAGCAGTTCACATCCTGAGCAGAATATAACTGCTGTAATCTTACAATGGGCCATGGGCAACACGAGACCCTGCACAGCTCCAGACTGCTGCGGGGTGAGGCTTCCTGTGTTAAAAAGTGGCCACTCATGCGTACGGCTTAGAGGGAACACTGCTCACAACCGAAATGACAGAGGCAGTGAAAGAATTTATAATCTATTCCCTTTCACAGTGTTAAGGAATGGATAATTTGAAGACTTGCCCTAAGGTCACATGACCTTAGCTCTAGAACAAGGGTTAGAAACTGCTGCACAAGATGTTTTAGTTGCCCTTCGTATCAAAGTGGCTTTAAGTTAGGGTTGCCATGTTTTGAAAAGCAAAAAAGAGGACATATTTCCCGACTGACTACTTCTATCAAGTGATCACTATGACAAATCTCATTTTAAAGAGTCCTGCGATTTGAGCTGCGATAATTGCTACTAAGTAGGAGTATTCCTAACCTTGCCACCCCAAAAGAGGACATTTTCATCAGTTTTTAAAAAGAGGCCCACAAGAGGACGGACATCAAAAAAGAGGACATGTCCTCTAAAAAGAAGACATCTGGTAATGCTACTTTAAGCCTTTTCTTATTCTGGCAGTCTTTACCTGCGTGAACCCAGAACGATACAATAGGCATAAAAGGTAAAGGTTTCCCTTGCTCAAAAGCCAGTCGAATCCAACTCTAGGGGGCGGTGCTCATCTCCATTTCCAAGCCAAAGAGCCAGTGCTGTCCAAAGACTTCTCCATGGTCATGTGGCCAGCATGACTAAATACCAAGGCACATGGAATGCTGTTACCTTCCCACCGAAGTGGTACCTATTTATCTATTTGCAATTTCTTGCTTTCGAACTGCTAGGTTAGCAGGCACTGAGGCAAGAGACAGAAGCTCACTCCATCATGCAGCAGTAGGGTCCCAAACTGCCGAGCTACTGACCTTCTGGTCTGCAGCCAACTCAGAAATCAAATGCTGAGTAGCCATCAGCCTTGCCCCAACCCTTGCTACACTTCAGATGGAATGTCATTTTTTTTTAAGTATCGCATGGCCATTGATGCATTTATCCATTTCTTACCTTGCTTGCAAAGGAAACCTTTACCAGTGAAAAACTACTCTGGGAATAAAGGAGGAAGGTGTCCTTGTGACATCACAAAGAATGAGCCAATCGGCAGGTTGCTTCATGACATCACAATGAAGTTGTCAACTGGCACTGTACACAGCGGCACTAAACGGAAAATACATCCCACACGCACACCACTGCTAGGGACAACCTTGGAGGTAAACATGCATTTTGCTGCCAATTTTGTATTCTGTTTCTTTTAATTAAATAAAAAGAGGACTGTTGTGAGAGTAAAATGCACATCTGATCTGTTGAAGGAAAGGTGGAATATAGAGATAACAACAAGAGAGATAGCACGGATCTTCTGAGAACAGCAGATTAGAACTGTTCTTACATGAGGTTGCCAACTCTAGGATGGGAAATTCCTGAAAATTTGGGGGTGGTACCCACGGAAGGGAGGGACTTTAGCAGATTATAATGCCATAGAGTCCACCCTCCAGAGCAGCCATTTTCTCCAAGGAAACTAATCTCTGTCGTCTGGAGATCAGTTGTAATTCCAGGAGATCTCCAGGTCCCACCTAGAGGTTGGCAATCCTAGATCTACATATTACGAAAAAGCAAGTGGAACAGCCTCTTTGGAATTTCATGCCTGCATGTTCTCCCACATCGAACGCTCCCTGCATGTTGAAGACTAGCAAATCACAGAGAAACCCTGATGAGCTAGTTTTCCTTAGGCATGGAATTAAAAACAAGCAAACAAGGGCAGCTTTCAAACAGGTCCTTATCCATCTGCACTTTAAAGTTGTAAAGTGCCAAGAAGGCGTCACCAAAATGCCTTTCTTGGATGCCTAGATCAGCCTACAGGCTTCCATCCAAAGAACCTGTGAAACTGCTTGGCTGCTAGACTCTCCCTGCATGGCATTTCCCCCCTAAATTTCAAGGATTCCGAATATCTTCGCATCCATCCTTGAAATACTCTTCCTGAGAGAGCTCAAAAGCCCAGCCCTGTTGTCTCAACATCCGTCAGACTTCCTACCTCATAATTGCCAGAGAAGTTAAAGCTGACCGTCACAGTGGTCGGGGTAAGCGCTCCATGTTCAGGATCAGAACTCTCCTCCCAGAAATCGGCTGCTGGTTTTGTAGGAACAGCTTGGGTCAGAGCCTCATACTTGAGGAACACAGAGAGAAAAAACAAACCATTAAAAGAGAGGACACCATGGAACGATTATTATTGTGTTGTTATAACTCTAGCGGTGTACAGATTGCCGAAGGGTTAGAAGTATGACAACAGCCAAAAGCCAAATGAAATGATATGGGCCTTATAGAGCCCGATATGCTAAGATTAGAGCAGCCAGAGCCAGCCATGCCTCTGAAATTTAGTGGGTTCCATTGGGACTGGAAAGTAAAATAATAAGTCACCACCCTGAAGCCTACCACTATGGCTGTGTATTATTTTGTGCCAGTCAAAATTATGTACCCAGAAATCAGAAGCTATGCACAGTGGGGGAGTGGAACTATACCTGTCCTGCCCAAGACATCTGTCCTGCTTCACCTGTAAACCTGAACGTCTTAAGTGTTGAATGTCATGTTTGTATAGGGTCTGTATTATGTGCCACAGGTCCACACTTAGTGGTCGTTTCCTGAATGTTATGCAGATGTAATTCATGCCCATGCGATCTGGACTATGTGCATACCCCAAGGAAACACTATGTCCACATATTGGTGTCCATCAAGCCCCAGATGCAACCCAGGGGTCGTTTCGTAGAAAAAGAGCTAGGGGAACTCATTAGCATAACTCATTAGCATATGCCACACCCCCTGACATCACCGGAAGTATGTCATAAGGCCACACCCCCTGACATCACCGGAAGTGCGTCATAAGGCCACACACCCCGCCCCCAACGGTCCCGGCCGCCACCGCCGACCTTGCAGCTCCACTGCCGGGCCGGCGGTGGACCTGCAAGGCCGGCAGGAGTGCAAGGAAGCCCCGCGAAGGCCCTCCCTGGCCCCAGGCAGGTAGGGGTGGGGAGAGGCAGGGAGGAAGCAACTTACCCTCCCTCTTCTCCTGCCTCCTCCTAGCTGAATGAGGGCCGGAAGCGGGGCGGCCGGAAGCAGGGGGCGGGGCTTCGTCATGTGCCCCGTCCCCCGTACCTTACCCGGGGGAACTGCGATCCCCCGCGATCCCCCCCGAAATGACCTCTGATGCAACTAGCTCGGGATGTTGTCTTACTAACCATTAGGGGGCCATGGCTCAGTCAGAGAGAACCTGCTTTGCATACAGAAGGTCCCAGGTTCAATCCATAGCATCTCTAATTAAAAGGACCAGATTGTAGCTGATGTGAAAGGCCTCTGCCTTAGACCCTGGAGAGCTGCTACCCGTCTGAGTACACAATACTGACTTTGATGGACCAATGGGCTGATCCAGTATAAGACAGCTTCATGTGTGTTCAAGGTTTTTACGGGGAGGGACCATGGCTCTTTGGTACAACATCTACTTTTCATGCAGAAGTTCCCAAGTTCAGTCCCTGGCATCTCCCGTTAAAACAGGCCAGACAGGAGGTGATGTGAAAGACTTTGATCTGAAATCCTGGAGAGCCACAGGCAGTCTGAGTAGACTGTTCTGACCTTGACGGGCCAAGGGTCTGACTTGGTAGAAGGCAGCTTCATACGTCCATATGGGCTCTTTTTGTAGCAGGAACTCCTTTGCATATTAGGCGACACACCCCTAATGTAGCCAATCCTCCAAGAGCTTACAGTAGCCCCTGTAAGAACAGCTCTGTAAGCTCTTGGAGGATTGGCTACTTAAAAAAAAGAAGAAGAAGATTGTGTGAAATGGCTCCATGGCTCTTTGCGAAGAAGGTCCTCTGCTCTGGGTTGGGAGAAACCTGCAGATTTTAGGGGTGAAGCCTGGAGAGAATGGGATTTGGGGAGGGGAGGGACCTCTGCAGGGTACAATGCCACAGAGTTCATCCTCCCAAGCAGCCATTCCCTCCAGGGGCACTGGTCTCCGTCAGCTGGAGATCAGCTGCAAAAGTGGGAGCTCTCCGGGCCCCACCTGGAGGCTGGCCACCATAACAGTGCCCTTGAATCTCCTCCACTGATAAGGGGTCAGGAATATGGACACGCTCATGCCAGGGCAGAAAAGAAGGGCATGCGAGTGGCAGATCTCCCTCGCGTCAGAAAGGGCAAGGAGAGCGGGGAGGCGCTTTCCCTGCCAGCACAGAGCAGACCAGCAGCTGGACTCCTGATCCCAGTGGGAGGAACTCAGCCAACTGCTCCATTTGGCAGGAGGACTTGCTCCCCCTAACCCAGCCAAGAGTGACTCACGGGCAGGGTGAGCTCAGCATCGTACCCTGACCTGTATTTCACAAGTTGCTGGATGCTGCCCTGCTTGAAACAAATCAGTAATGAGAGGAAGCAGGAAGGGCAGAGGGCTGGAAAACACCAAGACAGAAACGGAACGGACACAGGCAAAAAAAACCCCTGTGTCACAGAGATGGAGGGGCACGGAAGGCATGAGATCCACTTAGCTACAGATCTGGTCTAAATAATGTGTGGGTTGCAGATAAACAGTTGAAAAGCACAGTCTAGCTTCGTTTGCCTCTCCAGCACAGCAGCATCTTGAGGTCTAGGATCATGGAGTGTTCCAATGGCAGCCCCCAAGCTGCTCTTAGGCACCCCAGATCCCCAGGCCTATGTGGCTGCGCTGACCCTCTGCAACCACGGCACGGTTATATTTTGTCCTATTCCCACTGCACATCTCTCTTTTCCCAAGCACAGCAAAGAGGCCTACAAAGAAGAGGAGGAGAGAAGAGATTGGGTTTATATCCCGCCCTTCACCACGCAAAGGGGTCTCAGAGTGGTTTACAATCCTCTTCCCTTCCCCACAACAGACGCACTGTGAGGTAGGTGGGGCTGAGAGAGCTCTTTTGAGAACCGCCTAAGAACTTGTGACTGACCCACGGTCACACCAGCAGCTGCATGTGGGGGAGTGGGAAATCAAACCTGGTTCTCCCAGATTAGAGTCTGCGCTTTTAACCACTACACCAAACTGGCACCTGTGGGCGGTTCCACTTGGCAACAAAGCTGGGTTTCCCACGAAGTGTATAAACTTATTTATCTTTCTTTAGCTTCATCTGTAGCCCACTTTTCTGCCCAATGGAAGTGGCTGACAACATGCTCGCCAAAGTCCTGTGGGGTAGGTTAGGCTAAGAGAGCGTGACTGACTCCAAAATCACCCAGCAAGCTGTTATGCCAGGGTGGGAATTTGAACCTGCGTATCTCCTACTCTAGTCTGACATTTTAGCCACTGAAACACAGGCCAATTCCAGCTTTCCAGTGAGTGTGGCTGTGTGCCACGTGCACTCTCTGATACATCTTCTCATATGCCTAATTATATAGAAGATGTACACTGGTGTACTTGCAAAATATGTAATGTGTGAAATGCCCTTCTGGCTGCCCCCACAAGGTTCGTTATTCGAGATGACAACCCCTGTAAGTAGACTGGGGTTGCGGTCAGAAATGCCATTTAGCACAGTCAGGATAGGAAGCACTCCTATTTCATCCAATTTGTTTTTGAAATGGAGTCACTTGATCAGACATCCAAGTATATTCCATTTTTTTGCGGGATCAGTCCATCATTGCACAATCAGACGGTGCAGATGGGTGAGGGTTTTAAAAAAATTTTTGCCTGCTTTTGCACATGCGCATAAACGAGGGTGCCGTTTTTTGCACATGTGCTTTCCAGCTTCCGGGAGTCAATTCTCCGGGTTGACTGCTGGCCGATCCTTCCACGGAACACTGTGATCCCGTTGGTTCACAGCAAGCCACGGTCGTTTGACAAAGATCACTCCCTTTCCTGCTCACTTCCAAAGCTGGCCTAGAGATGGGGACAATTATGTGGTTATGCACATACTGCTATGCGAGCAAAAAAAAAAATGGTGCCCAATCAGGATGGAGTGAGCAAACCATCCCGCTGGCCTGAGAGCACACTTGAGTGATCAGACTAGGGAAATTCTGTCTGTGGCCTGTCGGCAAGCGTGAGGACCAAAGTTTCCCAGGTGTCTTTTTACTCCATTTTGGGGACGGACCAGGACAGGGTGCCGACAACTGCGGAACCTTTTTTTCCTTCAATAAGTGTTTTTTATTTTGAACAATATATACAACAGTACATTCATAACATATATTGACGCTATGCAATAATCAACTTTCTCAACCCTTAAGAGCCCTTTTAAAAATATAACAGATCTTTGTAATAAGAGTTGTTTGGAATCACTTCTTTTTCTGCTAGATAGTTCACCACTGGGAACCAAGTTGCTTGAAAACTTTTTTGGTGAGAGACAATTTTGCCATATATAAAGTGCTCCCAAAGTTTGTTTTGCCAACATTGGAGAGTAGGTTGATTTTTGTTCTTCCAATACTGGGCTATAGTTATGCGTGCAATAGCTAATAATGTTGCTATTAATGTTCTAGTGACTTTTCTTTCACAGGTATCTGGGATGACATCCAACAAGACCGTTTCAGGTAGAAAAGGTAAGTTGATTCCCGTGAACTGCGGAACCTATCACAGATGTTGCCGTCTGAACGTGCACTTTAGATCCGTCAGGCATTGGCTACAAAGTCAGATCGAAAGGCACGTCTGACCGCAGCCTCTATTTATTTATTCGGGAAGTCTGCATGTCACCTCTCCAGAGTTGTTCAACATGGCAGGATTTCTTGGCTGTCATAGCCACAACTGCTGTGTTACCATCTTGGGTCACAGAACACAGTGATTCTCTCTGGAACTGTAACATCTACCCACCAAAGGGGGGGGGGAAATCTTGGCTACTGTTGAAACGGCAATTGATCCTGGGAAAAGAAACAGTGATGAGTCCAGCACCTTAGAGACCAACAAAACGGGAGCTTTGACTCTCGAACGTTGACATCCTGAAACGCTTGTTGGTCTCTAAGGTGCTGCTGGACTCCAACTCTTCTTCTGCAGACCAGCACGGCTTCTTTCTGAATCTGTCTTAATGCAATAAGAAACTAGCCAAGAGATCTGGATTTCAGTCCCCTTAATCCTCCCGTCAAATATATAAACAAACCAGAAACTGCACAAATTTCCACCCCAAGGCCAACAGGCCACTTGGAGACTGGCCTTAGGAACGGCTGGTCTACAGATGACCGAGGCTTTCCCTTGTTTCTTGAACTGACCTGTCTGGAGCAGAGAAGGTTGGGGGGGACATGATTGCTCTCTCGAAGTATTTGAAGGGCTGTCTCTTAGAGGAGGGCAGGGAGCTGTTCCTGTTGGCAGCAGAGGATGGGACTCACAAGAATGGGTGATCCATGCGATGGTCACCTCAAGGTTGGACTACTGTAACGCTCTCTACATGGGGCTGCCTTTGTCGCAAATCCGGAAGCTGCAGCTGGTGCAGAATGCGGCGGCCAGGCTGTTGATGGGTCTCACTAGATGGGACCACATCCAGCCTGTGCTGAAGGCGCTGCACTGGCTGCCTATAGCATACCGGATTCGCTTCAAAGTGCTGATTCTTACCTATAAAGCCCTTAATGGCCAGGGTCCAGCAGACCTAAGGGACCGCCTTTCCCCATATGTTCCCCCAAGAGCACTACGGTCTGGGGCGCAGCACCTACTGGTGGTTCCTGGCCCCAAGGACATCAAGCTGGCCGCAACCAGGGCCAGGGCTTTCTCGGCGGCGGCTCCTGTCTGGTGGAACGAGCTCCCAGAGGAGATCTGGGCCCTTCGGAACTTGGCACAGTTCCGCAGGGCCTGTAAGATGGAGCTCTTCCACCAGGCCTTTGCATAGGAGCCGCCGCCGCCATTATGCCACCACCGAGTTGCCATCTACGACAGTGGATTAGATCTATAAGTGAACCGGCCCTGGGAAGATGCCTAGATGACCAAGAACTTATGTTGTCAGGCTAGGTTGATAAATGGATCCCGTCTTGAAGCGATAAGTTAACATCTAGAGCACCGCACTTTATTTATTGATTGTTTTTATACTGTTTTAATTGTTTGTTATGGCATTTGCCGCTGTTGGAAGCCGCCCTGAGCCCATCTGGGGAGGGCGGGATATAAATCTAATAAATAAATGAATAAATGAATAAATAAATAAAAATTAAGGGCGGGATGGTACCAGCTGGATACTTTTACAATAAGAGTTGTGCAACCATGGAATCAGCAGCCTAGGGAGGTGGTGAGCTCCCCCTCATTGGCAGTCTTTAAGCAGCGGTTGGACAAACACTTGTCTGGGATGCTCTAGGCTGATCCTGCATTCAGCAGGGGGTTGGACTAGATGGCCTGTATGGTCCCTTCCAACTCTGTGATCCTATGCTTCCAGCATGCACTCTTTTATTTTGTTTTTTAACTCATGCCTGCCATTCTATGGGCTCAATTGCTTGGGGTGCTGAGAGCTCCATGAATGGCATTCCAATAGCATTGAAAAACCAGGCGTACAGAGACCCAATTCAGATTGAGACTGAAATGCATGAGGGGAAAGGAGTTTAAGCCTCCCCCGTGAGGTTCTTCCAACCTGAAGCGGCCCTACTATTTGCGCTGTCATGGCAAACATACAGATATCCACGTCAGCATCCAGTGCGGTTGAGCCCTAAGGGTTGGCATCATCACACAAACACCAGGATGGAACCAGACATGAATCTATGCCGAGGTTCTCTGAGATGTACCAGTCGGCTGCTCCATCTACGTACCAACTCCCTACGGTCTCAGAGGCTGGGCTTACTGGGGAAACGAGGAGATCAGGCTTCCTGGTTTTGAAAGCAACAGGCATCCAAAGTAGACTGGTATCAGGTGCTCTGAGGAGGAGGGCTTGCCTCCAGGGGTAACAACTCACCTTGGTCAGACGAAAGAGCCGATGGTCACCGGTGGAATCAGAAACCTGGAAGTAAGCCCAGAGTTTCCAGCCCTCCAGGGGTCCACGACAAGGGCATGTGCAACCCCCCAAAAAAACCCCAGCAGCAAAATGGCCCGTGGCAAAGCCAGAGAGCGCCATGTGGGCCGCTCTGCGCAGTTGGGGTAAAGCGGGAGGGAAGCTGTGAGTTAGGTGGATTAGGTGGGGTGCACGGGGTGCGTCAGGCGGGGCAGTGGGTTAGACTGGTAGAGGCTGGGTGTCGTTAGGCCAGCAGAGGGCAGTTAGTTGCACTCTCTACCTGGCCCGGGGCTGGAGGGAGCGAGGAGGACGTCTCGACCGCTTCCTTGTTCCTCTTCTTCTTGCCTCTCCCTCTCTTTTTGCCTTTGCCCTTGCCTTTGCCCTTGCCTCGCTTGCCCTTCCTGCGGGGAACGTTCTGCACGGGATTGGGGGGGGAAGGATCGGGAGAAGGGGAGAGAAAACAACGGAGGAGGGAGGGGGAAGAGAGAGAAGGCACTTGAGAGAGAAGAGGCACCCTCCGGTTCCCACCGGACACCAAGATACACCGCAACCACACACCCCCAACACCCAATCACCATGATCCCGTTGCCAAGAGTCAGACAGGCAGAGGGGAACATCACACCAACCCTCATGGGAAGTACACAGAGGAAAGACCCTTCACCCAACAGACATCATCCCACCTTGGACTAGAGCAGGGGTCCCCAACGTGATGCCCACGGGTGCCATGGCATCTCCTGAAACTATCCCTGGTGCCCACCAAGTGTTCTTTAGAAAATTGGTGGGACAATGTGGGGCTTTTGCTCAGCAAGGCTTCTGATTGGCCAGTAGAGATTTGATGAGCTGTGCAGATGTTTAAACACATTGCTTCAGCAGCGGCCGCCACAGCACAAGAATCTTTACTGTGTGACCGGAGCTAAGCTACAGCAGCCATTTTGTGACTAGCTCTCTGTCACCTGCAGCGGCTATTTTGCGGCAGTGCCCACCACACTGTGTCAGAATTCCAAAGGTGGCCACAGGCTCAAAAAGACTGGGAACCCCAGATCTAGAAAGCACTGGGTCAAAGAAGAAGAAAAGATTGGATCTATACCCCGCCCTTCACTACCCGCAGGAGTCTCAGAGCGGCTTACAATCTCTTTTCCTTTCCCCTCCTCACAACAGACACCCTGAGAGGTAGGTGGGGCTGAGAGAGCTCTCTCGAGAACTGCCCATGAGAGAACAGCTCCGAAAGAACTTGTAACTGACCCAAGGTCACACCAGCAGCTGCATGTGAAGGAGTGGGGAATTGAACCCAGTTCTCCCAGATTAGAGCCCACGCTCTTAACCACTACAGCAAACTGGCTCTCAAAGAAGGTGGCTTCCTGGGAATGTTCAGTCTGATCCTGTAACAACGCCCCTTCTCCCTATACACACATCCTCGACCCCTGTTCTATCATGGTCAGGGCCCCACGGCATGAATTTGGGATCCAACCCAACCCGCTCACTACCTGTCAACTGGCCAGCTAGCAGACTGCAGGACTAACCTTCATCCATCCAACTCATGGCTTCGAATCCTCGGTGGGCTCACAGAACCTTGCCAGCTGGGTCATGAGCCCCCTGTAGAGCTGCCATTCCCTTCCCTGCTTTTCGGAATGGCCTGCTGGTAGCGCACATGTGTAGACAGCAAAGCTCCATGTCTCTTGCCTCTCTTCTGAGGCACAGTGAAAGGAACAAGTAGGATGACCAGGAGAGAACGCTCAGCCAGGGCCGGCCCAAGGTGTTTCTGCGCCCTAGGCAAGGCGCAGATGCCAGCCTCCCGGTGGGGCCTGGAGACCTCCCAGCTGTCTGCCTCCTTGCTCTCCGGAGCCGCTGGGCGGGAGAGGAGTGGTGAGGCGGCTGGCTCAGGGACTCAGGAGAGGTGGGAGCCGCCTGGCACTTGCCGGACTCGGGGAGAAAGAGGCAGTGGCAGCAGCCAGGGGGATGCAGGGCTTTTGGTGGGGACTGAGGGGCTTTGGCGGGGGGGCGGGTCCAGTTTGGCGTCCCAAATGCCTAATTCGCCTAGCGGGTGAGCCGGCCCTGCACTCCGCGATGGAGGGGATTCCTTTATAGCACAGGCAGTGAGACTCTGGCTCTTCCACTTCCTGTCACATGACTGCAATGTCGTGTGAATCCCTGCCATACGCTTATGCTCAGTGAGTCCTGGCTCTGGAAAGGCTGAAGATCGGTATTCTAGCCCCTATTTTGACCCCTACTTCTGTTCCAGGTGGAATGATAGCTTCCCCATATAATTGACTACCACAGTGCAGGTAACCCTTAGTGGGGAATCGGTTCCCAGCGCAGCTGCTGGGGGATAGATAGACACTCTTCTCATCCAGGTTCCAAGGTGCAATGATGGACAGGATGTATCCTGATTCTGAGATCTGCTTGTTCTGGACAGCAGATTATCATGGATGAATACTCCACTTCCAAAGTCAGCGGCACACTGCTCCAAGCTGGTTCGATCCGCATTTGCTTGCCGCTCCAGATTTTCTCAGTGTTTGAGTCGAGGCAATTTAAGTCCAGGGCAAAACAGCATCCAAATAACCTGGGGCAACAGCAGGCTGAAACCGGGCTGGCCACTGACGGGAGAGAATGTAACGCAGAATGGGGGGGAAACTCGGAATAAAAAGAAGGTTGAACTCAGTTTTAGTGCAAAATGGGGGGGCAACTGGATTAAAAAGAAGGTTGAATTCAATTTTAGTGCAGAATGGCTTGGAGGACACGGTGGTGAACATGGATTAAAAGGAGAGTGCAGAAAGGGCCACTGTTTTGGCCAGTCATATCAGCCATTGTGCCATATCTTCAGTCACAGAAGCCATTTCCTTGCCATGATTCATCTTAAAAGTTCCCTGGATATTTCCGTGCTTTTTACAATTTTCTTGTAGATGCAGAAGATTAAAAGTGGAGGATCCTGGGAGTGGCACGGCTGGTATCACAAGGACATGCCCGTCTCCCTACGTTTCCTGACTAGAGCATCCATGACATTAATCCCTCTACTCCTTCAGTATTGAGGTCTCTGGGACCTATCCATGTAACGTGTGGGGAACGAATCTGGGGTGTCAACAATCCCTTTACCTTCACATTGGCGGCGGCGGCAAAAAATGCGGCCCAGTTGCGGCTACGTTATGGTGACCCCTTAGGGTTTTCAAGCCAAGAAAGGAGCAGAAGTCGTTGGTCATTGCCTGCCTCTGCGTAACAACCTAGGCTTTCCTTGGTGGTCTCCCATCCAAGTACTAACCAGGGCTGACTCTGTTTATCTTCTGAGATCTGGTGAGACTGTACTTTCCTGTGCCCTCCAGGGTAGGGCTATTTTTGAGCTAGGCAAATCCAGTTCCAGGCAGGCCCGTAGCTAATGCGGGGCCCACGAGGCCCGGTCCCCAGGGCGTTTTTTGTAGAAAAAGCCCAGCAGGAACTCATTAGCATAATGGACCACACCCAACAGCAGAAACCCATTAGCATATTAGGCCACACCCATGGCAATACAGCTCATTAGCACATTAGGCCACACACCCCATGTTGCCAGAAGTGTGGTCATCCGGCCACACCCACCTTTTGCTTCTTATTCTGTTTACCTTGTTTGTTGTCAAAACCCAGGGCTTTTTTGTAGCAGGGACTCCTTTGCATGTTAGACCACACACCCCTAATGTAGCCAATCCTAATGAGTTCCTGCTGTTGAGTATGGCCTATTATGCTAATGAGTTCCTGCTGGGTGTGGCCAACTCGGGAGCCAGCCGGAACTCCGTTCCTGTGCGTTCCTGCCCAAAAATAGCCCTGCCGGTCCCCTAACGTTTCTTCCAGGGCTCCAACCTGAGCCTTGGCTTCTCTTCCCCCGAGCTCCACAGTAGCTACGTGCCTGTCAGTGAAACGGGCTGCATAGGATCGGAGGTCTGACCTCGCGAGACCATCTCCTGTTCCAACTTCCAGAGGCGCTGGCAGGGGAACCCAAGATGGCAACGTTGCAAAAGTGTGGGTGAGGCCGGGCAATCCTCCATGCACCTTGCAGGGAAGTCATTGCGTGGGACTAGGCACAGGATTCCAGCTGTGCACTCCGCAGCTCTGAAGTACACTGGCTTGCAGTTAGTTGATCGGCCCCATCTGAACCAGCAAGGGGGGTGGGGGGGAAGAATGCGCATAGCTCCATACAGACATATAATGGCTGGCCCCCTAAGCAAAACGTCCCCCCCCAGCAAAAAGTTGCTAGCTACCGGGCTGGTTCCAGGTTTTCTCCAGGCCTTGAATGGAGTATAAATTATCAGCACAAAAAAGACAAGCCTCCGTATGTCCTTCCTTGGGTTCCTGTAGCTTTGCTGGAATAGTTCAAGGTGATTTCTGCATTGGAAGACATCTAGGAAGGATGATCCCCGGGGTCATTTTTGATGGGACATGCAAAGGGACTCTGAGTTACAACCCAGCCTTACATCGAAACGTAAGGTAGAGCCAAGGTTCTGTGCTGCTTTCCCTGGAAAGTGGCAGAAACAGCACCTGTGTTTCTTCCTTGGCGACTGTCCTAATGACAACCATCTCCCCTGCTCCATGTAAGTGAATAGACAGAGTAGGTTGCTACTGAGGAAACTGTGTGTGGGGGTATGATGGGGTTTACCTTTGCAGGTTTCCCGGATCTATTAGCTTCGTGCTCTGGACTTGAGTGGATAACTCTTACCTCAGTCAGTCCAACAGGCTAACAAAGGTCCACGACCCAACTGGGAAGCAAACGTCCAGGAATCTATTCCTACCTGAGTTTGGTTTGTTTCTATCAAACTCCTGTTCCTTCCAACAGCCTATTTGATCCCATGGTGTCAGGTAGGACTAATTCAGTGATTCCCCTATGGGGTGCCTGTGGGCACTGACTTGTTTCTTGAGGCCCACTTGCTTCATCCCCGAAACACTGACCGTTTCTTGAGGCCCACTTGCTTCATCCCCCAAACAAAAGGCCAATCCTGGCTTCCCTCCTCTCCATTGGAGGTATTGCCTTCAGAAGCATCCATTCAGAAATAGCAGCCCCCATCAGAAGATGCTTGGCCTGGAACATCCCAACATTTTGTAACGGCACCCCATGGCAGCCATTTTGTGGTGGTGCCCACTACCTAGGGTCGCAAGCCCAGGGCTGGCAACCCCCAGAAGACTGGGGAGAGGGGGTGGAGGCATGGCAAAACAGCATTGTGCACCACCACTTCTGGCTTCATACCCGGAAGTGACATCACTGCATTGTGCCACATTCTTGAATATTCTCAAAACTATACGGCAAAAACCATAGAGATTAGGGGAATCCCTGGAGCAGCACATGACACAGTGATCTCATAGCTGGTACGCAGCTAGAAGTGATGTTGTGGCATCATGGGACATCATACTCCCCCTGATTTTTCCCCACCAACCTACTGTGTAGGGGACAGGGCTTCAGGGTGGGAGGTTGTCCACCCTATTAGGCACCCTGGCCATCTACCACAAGCCTTCCTTAAAATTCCCTCAGAGCTCACAGACGCGTCATAATTAAGGACCAATGAAAAAATCAGTCAGGTTTTAGTCCAGAAGTTTTCTTCACTGGTTAGGCCAGCAGTGTCCTGAGGATAGGGTTGCCAACCCCCCCAGTTTGCCAGGGGTCCCCCGTTTTTTGGGGGGGTTCTACTCGCGGCCGTCCAGATGGCCAGCGGGGGAAGCCCCACCCCCAACACCCACAGCCACCCATCGCTCTCCCTTTAAGTGTGTGGAACCCGTGTTTCCTCCCAAGCCCGATCTCCGCTTGAGATCAGGCTTGCAGGGAAATGCCAGCTTCGTGCACTTAAAAGGGGAACGCGGCTGCTCTTAAAGGGGAAACGCCGGCTCCTGCATTTAAAAGGGAAACGCCGGCTCCTTTAAGTGCAGGGAAATGCCGTTTCTGGAGATCTGGTGCGCGGGCAGGGAGGGGGCGGCGGACGTCCCCAACGTGACGTCATCACGTCGGGGATGCCCCGCCCCCTCCAGGAACACCCCCAAAGTCCCCGCTGGGGGTGGAAGATGGACTTGGCAACCCTACCTGAGGAGAATACAGGCCCCAGACTTTGACCATACCTATTTTCCCCATAGACACTGGACAAAAAATAGGGGATCTGGCTACCACAAACCCCTGTCGTTTGGCCACCTACCTCTTCCGCATATTGGGCATGCAACGGATAGGTGAGCGGCCTGTTGCAATCTGGCATGTAGTGTTGGCAGTACTGGGAGGCGGCAGAGGGATCCGGCACAATTAGCAGCTGCTGAAGATCACCCTGAGAAAAGGAAAAGGAAGAGTGTGAGAAGAGCCAGACTGGATGAACCGAGGCGCCCTCTAAGCTGTGGAGTCTTGTGAGCAAAAAATCTACTTTGTGAGCTACTGGCCTTGAAGTTGTGAGCGAGCGATTTGGCTGCTGCATCAGTTAGTTTGCTCTGGGGCTACGACAAAAACGTGTGAGCTGGAGGTTAGAAAACTGTGAGTTGGCTCCCACTCACTCAACTTAGAGGGAACACTGTTGCACACACACACACACATGTACTGTCACAAACACCCACACCCCAAACACTGGGGGCTTCAGCAACACATTCCTATGGACGTTAGGATATGAATGTTTAACTATATCAGCTGGTGTCGGGGATGGATGGGCCAGCATGTCTACTGGGACCTCTCCTGGTGGGACAATGGCCTCCTCCTACCTGGTCTGAGCCAGTATAGTTGCAGAAGGGTCCACATGAAAAAGAGGCGGTGCCTGGCCCACCTGAGCCTCGCATGGCCCAAGGAGACAGCGCAGTTTTTAGCTCAAACACCAGAGCCTTGCTGGCAACACGAGGACATGCATTGGAAGTGACATCGCTGTGTTGGGGCTTTTTCTGCTGCCAGTGATGTGGCTGAAACGCAGTGCTAGCCCTCTTCCACTGCCAGTAAGTCCCTGCCAGCCAGCTGGTTGGTGGCAGGGAGAGACTGCCCCAGGGACAGGGGTTTCCCCCGCCCCCAGTGTTGACCTGGCAACCCTCACCTGGTCCCTGAGGCACCATCAGGCATTAATGAGAATCGCTGGGGGAGTGATTCAGGTTTTCCTAGGAAAGCACTCTACCGCTGACCTAAACTGGAAGGTGTTCCAATTCAGCAACTGTGCATTTGGCACCAGACACATCACTTTCATCTTTAGAGACCTCACAAACACCTAGGGCTGCCAAGTGGGGGCGGAGGGCGGGTAAACCCCCGCTTTGGAGGCCCGATTCCCGCCGCCACGGAATCGGGCCCCAGGGGGAACTCCGCCCCCTGAAGCGCAGTGTGGCTGCGTCACCAGAGGTGACGCAACCACGTCAATCACATTGGGGGCGTGGCCCCAATCGTCAGAGGGAAAACTCTATGGTTTTCCCTCCGACGATCGGGGCAATGCCTTCTTCGTGAACGACGTCGCACGTCACTTCTGGTGATGTGCTGGCGGCGCACGCGCACTTCGACAGACGTCTCCCCCGCCGGTAAGAAAAATTGACTTGGCAACCCTACAAACACCTTTGTCTTGTGTCTATAGATCTTGCTGCTTAACCTTCCTTTTCTTGGTCCAGTATTCACTTATTGGTTACCTTATTGTAATATGTATTATTGTTGCGTGTACCTCAATACTGTTTGACCTCTGAAAAAGGCCCCAATAGGGCGGAAACGCATCAGGTCATGTGTATTGGCCCTTGTGTTTAGGCCGCTTGAATGTTTTAACATGGCTTTCTTTGGGCCCTTATATGTTTTTGACTGTCTTAATAAATACATGCATTTTTGTATAAGTTTCAGCTAAGTTTTTAATATTGGCTCTTTATCAGACTTCTTTCTTTGAGGCCTCCACTATGGCCTGGCATCCCTAGGCCTAGGGTTGCCAGCTCCAGGATGGAAAATTCCTGGAGATTTGGGGGAGAAGCCCGGGGACAGTGGAGTTTAGGGAGAGGAGGGACCACAGCGAGCTATAATGCCACACAGTCCACTCTCCAAAGCAGCCATTTTCTCCACGGGAACTGATCTCTGTCCTCTGGAAATCAGCTGTAATTCTGGGAGATCTCCAGGCCCCACCAGGAGGCTGGCAACTCAAATAACATCTGTAATCCATCTCTGCTGCTAGCTGCTAAAACACAGGATGGACTGTATCTGGGTCCTCCAAGGAGATCCAGCTCGTGGGGTGTGACCTGAGAAGGAGCTCTGTGTTAACTGAAGGCCTGCCTACTTTTACCCAAACAGAAGTTAGATTCGACCTTCTGGCCCTCCTTTTTTCCCTGGGACGAGAGTCCCAAGAACCACCCTCTGTACCAATTCAACACATACACACACACACACACACAGAGGCACACATTCGGCTGCAGCTGGACACGCCCACGCAATCCTGGTGCACAAAGAACATTCGCTCCCAATAAATCATCTCGTAAAGTATGGCCACTGGGCCTACTTCCAGGGCAGCCCCCGGAGCTGCCTGCTCCCACCTGCTCAGCTGGGACCTGCAATTATCCAGCTCCCAGCATTCCTTCGGAGTGGGGGGGAGAGACATTCGGCAGCAAGACAGAGAGCTTGGGGAAGGGGAGGGGGAGAAGCAGTGAGTCACGGCCCTAGGAATGGGGTCAGATGGGGACAGAGAGGGCCAAATCAGACGGAGGGAGACCCCCACAGTCGGAGAGGAAACCACAAGGGAAGCAAGGCAGGATTAGGAGAATGGCCAGATTCCCATACGTAAATAAACACATAGAATCAGATACACATGCCCCAAAACAGACAGACAAATCCTAGAACTGTATATCCAGCAGCTATTGAGTCCACACACAGAAAAACATGGGAGGCCCGGAACAGACAAACAGACAGAGTTACAAAAGGATTTACACTCCAGCATGGGGGTTGGCAACCTTTCACCACTTAAAGTGCCAAACTACAACAAAATGCAGCCCAAGAGACCAACAACGAGCCCTTCCAAGAGAGTTCGTTTGCAACACTGACAATATGCAACTTAACATTCCTCATAATTGACGTGGCAGTTAAGAATCCGTACCATCTCTGCAGGCCAAACGCTGCTTAGTACTAGTAACTTTATTAGTAAGTAGCACCTAGTAGGTATCACAATAAGGAATGCTGATACATAGTGTGTGATTGTATTAGTGGACTGGCATAAATCTGTGTGTGGTTCATACTCATATTCCTGTCAACTGTTCACCTCTATCATTTCCCATTCTGCAAAGCATCCCTCAGCACCCCTTTAACCCTGTAAAACTCTTTTCCTGCCATCATCCCATCTACCCCTCAATATACTTTTGCTTCAAAGATCTGGGTTTTCTTTCTAGAGAGCCATATTTGGTTCCACATTGAGCCACATCCTGGGGCAAATGTTTAAGTGCAGGAGCAGTAAAAGCTTAAGTGCAGGAGCCAGCATGGTACAGTGGTTAGAGCGTCAGACTAAGGTCTAGGAGACCCAGGTTCAATTCCCCACTGTGCCACGGAAACTTGCTGGGTGACCTTGGGCCAGTCACAACACTCTCAGCCTAACTTGTCTCACTAGGCTTGCCAGGTCCCTACCTGGCATCCAGCAGGGGGGGAGTGTCTGGGAGCCTTGCATGCACGCATGTCATCACACTGGGAACGTCGTTGAGGGACGCCCTAGCATTTGAGCTTAAAACTCTATGGTACCTACCAGGTGACATCATTGTGCTGGGCACATCAGCCCAATTCAGGCACTTTGGGGGCACTCCCCCCCCGCAGTCAGATCTGGGCTGGTGGGTCGGGGGTCCTTAGAGTGGGCAAACACCTTCCCCCCCCCCGGGGGGGGACCTGGTAGCCCTATACCTCACAGGCATTTTGGAAGGATAAAATGGATGGCCCAGGCTAGCCCAATCTTGACCCATTCCAGCATCTTATGTCACACGGTTGCCAACCAGACGTCCTGGAAATGTCTACCTGCAGCACACAAAGAACCTTCTGTGTTATGTCTAGGGTTGCCAACTCCGGTGTGGGAAACTCCTGGAGACTGGAAGGTTGCACCCAGGGAGGGTAGAGTTTAGGGAAGGGACGGAATCTCAGTCCGATGTCACTTTAGGACTTCCATTTAGGACTGAGCTACTTTTATCCGCACTAGAAGAAAAGGGGCTGTTTCTGAGTTCTCCCATGCAGGAGTAAAAGCAGCTTGGCAGTGTAAGGCTGCCAACCTCCAGGTGGGGCCTGGAGACCCCCTGGAATTATATCTGACCTTCAGACTACAGAGATCAGTTCCCCCAGAAGAAATGGCTGCTTGGGAGGGAGGATTCTACGGCGTTATAGCCCACTGAGGTCCCTTCCCTCCCCAAACCCCACCCTCCACAGACCCCACCCCCAAAATATCCAGAAGCTTCCCAACCTAGAGTCGGCAACCCTATGGCAGTGGTTGTTTCCAGGAAGACAAAGGCAAGGGGACATAAAGGTTAACGTTTCCATCCCTCCTTTGCTTGCAAAACCATAAGGTACACTCCAGCTCCAAATGTGGCTGGATGCAAAATATGGATTGCCTGTCAAATTATATTTCTCCCATTCATACATGGATGCATCTGCCTCCAAGCCCACTCCCAGAGTAGGGTCTAGGGTTGCCAAGTGTACTTACCCTTGCCGGCGGGGGAGCCTTGTCGGGCTCCAGGAGCTCTCCTAGTGACGTGCTACGTCGCTCATGTTGGGGGCGTGGCCCAAATCGTCGGGGGGGGAACCATATGGTTTCCCCCCTGACGATCTGGGCCACGCCCCCAACGTGAGTGACATGGCTGCGTCACCTCTGGTGACGCAGCTTCGGGGGGCGGAGTTCCCCCCGGGGCCCGATTCCACGGCGGCGGAAATCGGGGCTCCAAAGTGGGGGTTTCGCCACCCCCACTTGGCATCGCTAGTAGGGTCCCTCAGCCCTTCTGCCTGAAGCACCCATTTCTGCTCATAGCAGATTACTGGCATTCTTTCCTTGTTGCAGGGTTAGGAGGAAAGCGCAATGGGAAAAGGCACGCCAACGACGCTGGGAACATTCCGCAGGGTTCCTTCTCTCTCCCCCCCCCGCCCCATCCCCTCCCCCATCACCTTCCCGGCATTTTTTTTTCTTCCCCTGTCTCTAAAATGGCTAGGCTGACGTTTCCAGGCAATTCCTCAACTCACCCCCCCCCCATGGTCTCCAGATAAGGTTTTCCACCAGCCACAACAAGGGGTGCTTGTTCTCAACCACCCCCAGGCCTCGGCCTACCCGCCTGCCTCATAACCTCTGACATTTGGCGCCTGAAGAAGGAATGTGGGAGGTGGCTG